CTCCCAAACACCCCAAGACAGAACTACCTGACCCAGCAATCTCGTTACTCAGTAGGTAGCCAAAGAAAAGTCCATTAACATTTCTAGGGATGGCAGCATGGCATAATAGGTTAAGCCTCTGCTTGCAGTGCCAGCATCCCATACAACCACTAGTTCATGTCCCAGCTCCACTTCCAATCCAGTTGCCTGCCTATGACCTGAGATGTCTCAAGTCCTAGGACCACTGAACTCATGTGGGGAGACCTGAGAGAAACACCTAGCTTCTGGCTTTGGATCGACTCAGTTCCAGCTGTTACGGCCATCTGGAGAGCGAGCCAGCCAATAGAAAATGTCTCTGGCTCTCTTTCCCTCTGGAACTCTGCCTTTCACATAAAGACAAAATTATCTTTTTGTGAAAAAAAAATGATCAATGTTGGAGGTAATGGACATGCAATTACTGTGATTTGATCATGATACAATGCAGTCCCAGCTACTCTGCTTTTGACTTTCAATCTAGCTCCCTGTTGAGCACCTGGGAAAGCAGCAGAGGATGGCCCAAGTGCTTGGAACGTTGACACCCAAGTGGGACTTTCAGCCTTTTCGTATCAGCCTGGGCTAGATGTTGGCCATTTGGGAAGTGAGCCAGTGGATGAAAGATATGTCTCTCTCTTTTGCTTTCTCTCTCTCTCTGACACTCCACCTCTCAAATGAATGAATGAATGAATAAGTAATTCCTTTGGAAAAAAAAAAGTCAGTGCCTCATAAATTTATACAATTCTTGTATGTCAAAAATAACAGCAAAGGAAAAAAAAAACTTAGAATGTAAATGCTTCAGCTAAGCTTGTGATTAAACTTCTGAAATTCAACTCCGAAGAAATATCTGAAATGAAACACTTTCTACACAAAGTGCTTAAGCATAACAGAGTTAGAATTTCCATGGGAACAGTCTCAAACTCTTAAAGGAGCCGAGAAGACAAAAATAAGCATGCAAATGCATTTATTTGCTTTTTGGTTTCTCTTCACCTCTGCCCCTCTGCCTCTTTGGCTGTCATCCTAACGAATGCTTTCAAGCCTCAGAGGGAGTTAAGAACAACAAGCGGCTGAAGGGAAGAAAGAAGGTGATCCGGCTCCCTTGCGACAGGAACCAATGCATGATTTTCTCATTCATCTGCTCTCCTTTCTCCACCTGCGCAATCGCCCTGTCTTCCCATGCTGTTTGTGCTACTCTCACTGTGCAGCAAACTTACCAGTTACCTGGCTGCAGGAGAGGAAAGGTAGCATGAAAACCAAGGTTGTCCTCTTTGAGCTATTGAATGAGACAATCAGCCCCATTTGTCGTTACTAATTGCACGAACAGCTCAAAGTAGGTAGGTTATAAGGCAAAGAGGCTTTGCCCAGATCATGGTTCCAGTCCACATGGCTGGTACCTTCTTGCTGGAGGAGTGTTGAAGTTAACAGGATGATCTGCGTGGTGGGACTGGAAGGCTGTGAGACATGGCAGAGCTGCCTTCTGTAACAGACTCGCTTCTCCCCCAGATAACCCGTTAACTTGCATCCACTCATCACACCAATGTGCCAGTTTTTTTTTTTTTTTTTATTAAGACACAGTCCTAATTACCTCTTCCAGATCCCACCTGATCCCACTCTCTCTGTTGTGGTGAGGATTAAATTTCAATTTGAGCTTGGGAAGGAGACAAAGCCACACATTCATTTACTCAATAGTGCCTTAGAGGCAGAGAATGCTGCGGGTAATGCCAACTCCCAGTTGACTAGTTTACAGGTACAAGATCACCCCGCTGACTAGTCATAAAGCCAGGCCTCACACAGCACCTTGAATCTGATATTTTCTCTGACTCTACAAACACACGTGACCTGCCCAAGCAATGAAGACACTGTGCCATGGCTACTTGCCTCTCTTCAACAGAAAAGAACTTGACTTTCTTCTTAGAAATGTCTGCTTTAGCATTACAAAGTAAAAAAGCTTACCCTTCCTCCACACTCAACTGCCAATATTGCTATCACTGCAGGCTGGGTGTCGCCCCCAGAACGGTGCAGCCAGGGCTAGCGGACTTCTGGCAACCGTCAGCGTGGCTATGGTTGACAAGCACTGCCCAGAACTAGCCAACCAATTTTGGATTGGTATGCACTGCTTTAAATTCAGCAATAGATGGCCTCCTAAGAGCCAATGTGACCTCTGCTAAACCTGAAAAATCAAAGCATGTCTTTTGGAATAAACCTATTACGGACGCACTGACTGTATTAAATAGCTTGTAAATGATGTTAGGGGTCCTAGCCAACATGTTGGGGTACAATAATCTCTCTCCTTAGGGATAAGCTGGAATCTGGTTTCCCTTGGGAAACTAGAGGCAAATGAGATTTGAGGTTGAGATGGCTCTACATGAGATGATCATTAAAAACTAGGAAGTGTGGAATGGAAACATGCAACCGCCTTGCACGACTTAGAATTACGGACAACTAGCAAAATTCAAGAAAAGAGGCTATCTCATGGACTTGGGAAATATGAGAACCAAGCAATCGGCAAGCAATTCATTCCATAATGAACAGAACTATGTACCCCAAGGTAATCTGGTGGAGAGCCATTCATTTAGGTTCTAAAACACCAGATTAAATACTGCCATATTATTGTGGATGAAAATTTTAAAAATGCAAATATCCCAAGTGATTGACTCCCTCTTGGATCAACTGAAAAAGTAGGGCATTATAACAACCACTGCTGATGTATTTTCTAAATACTTATCATATCTGGCCTCGCTTTAACAATTGGCATTGTTTTGAGGTAAAGAACCACGTGGGATAGGTATTGCTTTCTTAGGATGACAGATAAGAAATGTTTTTTTTTTTTTAAAAATAAAACTCAGCAAAAATGATAATTACTAGAATGTGATAGGGTTTTCCTCTAAACCTCACTTGACCTGGCCCTTGCACCCCTGTGCTGGCTCAGCAAGCTAATGGACTGGTCCCCTCTATAATTCTCCCATCAGAGCTGGTGTCAGCTCAGCAGTTTGCAGGGATGTAACCAGTCCTGGAAGGTTCAGCCTTGCAGGAGGTAGCCTCTACCTTCTGCTAAGTACAAAACAGACAGTAAAGTTGGTGAAATTCACAGAGCATCCGGGTGAGTGCTATGCTGGGTGAAAATGGTACACACCAATCATGCCTGTCAACCCTAGTTAAAAAAGAAAAAAAAAAAAAAGATCTGGGCCTGGCATGGTAGCCTTGTGACTAAAGACCTTGCTTGCACCCGCTGGGATCCCATATAGGCAGTTGTAATCCTGGCTGTTCTACTTCCCATCCAGCTCCCTGCTTGCGGCCTGGGAAAGCAGTTGAGGACGGCCCAAAGCCTTGGGACCCTGCACCCGCATGGGAGACCTAAAAGAGCCTCTGGGCTCCTGCCTTCAGACTGGCTCAGCTCTGGCCGTTGCGCTCACTTGGGGAGTGAATCATCGGACAGAAGATCTTCCTCTCTGTCTCTCCTCCTCTCTGTACATCTGACTTTGCAATAAAAATAAAATAAACATTAAAAAAAAAAAAGACAAAGCATCCGCTGTTACAACAGAATTAAAAACAGTCAATGCAAACAGAAGTTTTTAAAAATTATCTTTAATACAAGTGAATAGATTAGAAGTTTTGAAATGTTATAAAGCAATATACACAATGAATAAATAATTTGCACAGGAGAGTCATGTCTACATTACATAACACTGTCTAGTTCGGGAATACTTAAAAGTAAATCCAGTGATAATGGAGAAAGTCCATAAAAATGCTAACCTGCCTTCCCTTGTATGAAATTGTTCAAGTATAAAAATCCAATACAGTGTAAAATAGTATTCAATTTAGTTTAAGAATAAAAATTGCAAGTATTGCAGTTTCGGAAGAAAAATGTAAAGCAGCATTAAGAAACTACATAAACTACATAAGAATCGTGTTAAGGTAATGAGTTACTGATAAATGAGATTGACACAAGCAAAAAAAAAAAATCAGAGAACCATGAAACTAGCAGTACCTTAAAAAAAAAAAAGCCTAAAAACTAAAATAAACTAAAATGTGCTAATGTCAGAGTATTCTCGTCTACAGTGCACATATGAATTTAAATAAATCAAAACCAACATCTTTAGTTGAATAGGTTAATCTTTAATACGCTACATCTAGACCTACTAAATAACTTATGCCATGAGATGAATACATAATTTTACAGTGTCACATCTAAAGTTCCTTTCTTTAGAGTGCAGCATAGTAAAACGTAAAAATAAATATCTTAAATAGCATTACTATTAAGGCACAGGATAAACCACATTGTCGTTACCCTTTGAAGCACTGTCACCTCCGTAACTTAGTTTTCTCATGTACGGCAGTCGCTAATAAATAGTCTTAAATACGACTCTGAAATAGATACTAAAAAGTGTAAAATTATTTAAAAAGGGAGGAAAAAAAAAATGTCCTTAAGACAGATCTTAAGGGTTTAGAGTCTGCAAACTTGGCCTGCCTTTATGCCCACACCACGAGTCAACAGAATAAATAGAAAAAGACGGCTGTGGTAGGAGAAGCCTGACCCCACTCTGGAATCAGAATTGCTGACAGCAGCAGATACAAGTTTCCCAAAATCGAAACAGGATGGGGAGAGGGACGAGAACGTGACAAGCTCTTCATCCAAGCACGAGTGCTGTGTTCTTTCCAGAACTGCGCGTCACAGATTGTCCGCAGAGCTGTCGCGCCCATGCGTGCCACAGCCTTTGTTCCCACTGGCCCACGGGACAGATGAGAAAAGGGCTTTGGTGCCTGCCCACACTCGCACCCACCGCCCCGCTCCTAGATGGAGTGTTCGATGCCCATGGGGTGAGCCAGTAAGAACACGAGTTTCCTACTGGGACAGAAGCCTCCCAGTGTGTCTGCAGTGCTTTTCCCATTAAAAGAAAAAAACAAAAAACAAACAAAAAAAAACAAACTAAAAAACTTCTTGGAAAGGTCATTCTCGCTACATATTGCTCACTCTGTATTCCCTGGTTCAACTAGATTCAAATAGCAATTCTAACTGGAAAAAGGCAGTTTGCTTCCCTGATGCTATAAAAAAGAGCAAAAAATAAAAATCCGGTTACAAAAAGTGAAGTTCCCACGGGACTCCTGCCTTCCGTTCCTAGCGGCCTCTCCTGCACGAGATTCCTTGGGATTGACCTCCCAAAACTGCTCCATCCACTCCACGCCCCCACTCTCACGTCTCTCTTCTAGAACACTCCTTGGAATATATTAAAAATAATAATAATAATAGTTTTGTTTCACAATAGCACTGCTTGTTTTTTTTTTTTTTTTCTTAAAGCTGTTAAGTCAGTGTGAACTCTCCGATCAGCTACTAAAAATTGGGAAATTGGGAGGGGGGGGAGAGGAAAGAGTTGAACTCTGCTGTCCGGTCTACTGCATGCGGTCTGCCTGCAGCTGCTGAGGTTGGTACTGGCCGAAGGCGGCGGCAGCTGCAGCAGCTGCGGCGGCGGCGGCAGCTGTCCCAGGTGCAGCCGCGGTGATGGGCTGTTGGACGGCATAGCCGTAGCCGCCGGCGGTGACATAGCCTGCAGCAGCTGGCGACGCCGCGTAGGGGTACTGGTCATAGGCTGCGGCGGCGGCGGCGGCGGCAGCTGCAGCCGAGTACTGCGCGTAGGCAGCTCCAGTGTAATCAATGTAAGGTGTGGTGGAGGCCGCAGCTGCTGTGGGCTGCACGTGTGGAATGACCACTCCAGGCTGCACAAAAGCCTGCGGGTAGACATAGTGGGTAGGTATCCTGTTGAGAAACGGAGAGCAAAGTCAGGCGCTGGACACGCCCCGCGGGCAGCATTCATGGTACAGAGATAAGGCAAACTCAAATTTAGTGGTTATTTCTGAGCATAGGGTTGCCACAATATCTGCTTTCCATTGGTTTCCCCGAGAGCACCCTGGCTACTACAGCCCAGGTCATCGAATGCCCCTCGCAGAGTTCAGCAATAGAGCCGAGATGTGCTCCCTGCCAGAATTTATCCTTCAGGATGATGGAGAATCAATAGATAGGATTTATCCAGTTTAGAAAATCGAATCAAGCTCAGGAGTGCTCCGCATGTCACATGCCAGTCATTTACACCACACTTTGGCCATTATGGCTCTGTAACAAATTTGCCAAAGGCGGGGCGGGGGTGGGGGAGTGGGATGTTAAATACATAGAAAAAAATTCTGAGCTGAGGGTGCCGGATTCAAACATGATCCGTGTGGTGGCAGGGACCCACTGGCCGGCACTGTCATCAGCGTTCACAAAATCCGCGTTTGTTATCATGGCAACCCTACTTGAAATTGCTAGGCAGACTCAGCACACATTAATCTCTCTGCAACCTCAGTCACCCTTATTAAAAATAATCATAAAAAAAAAAGAAGCAGGCGACAAAATTAAAAAAAAAAAAAAAGAATTTCAAAGTTCACAAGTGTGTAAACACAGCAGAGACACACTTCTCACACGGACTTGTAGTGCAGCTCACTGTGGCCACAAGGCTGTTGTGGGAAGCCACAAAACGCTAGGAACATTCACGGCAGTGATTCCCCCACAATGCGCAACACACTTTTTTTCCCTTTCTTTCTTTTTTTTTTTTTTTGTTTCCCCCATAAAAGTCATAAGGATACAACAGTCAAACCTGTGGGGCTAGGACGCCACTGAGGGTGAGACGGCTCGTTTAGGTCTATGCAAGACAGACAGAAGGGGTGTCGGGGTGTGGGGGAGGAGACGATGAGGTTGGGAGGGGAAGGGAAGGGCCAGGCAAACACAACCACGTAATTCTAAAAATTAACAGAAACGTCAAAGGATTACATCATCAGCAAACTTCATTTTTTTTCTGCACATTTACTAATGCTTGTTTTATAGCCTCCCAATCAACAGAAATAGATGCCAGGAACAGATGTCTCTTCAATCTATCCTACGAGTCAATATTTTGTACCAATCAACAGTATGATTATAGGTTATCCTGCAAGAGTTCAAGAAAGGGAGACCAAAATCAAATACCTTTTAAAAATGATACATTCACAGCTCGCGCACAAGGCAGACGCCAATGACCTCACATGAAAGTTCATTTGGTCGAAAAATAAATCGTAAGGAAAAAAAAAAAAAACTCATGCATCCCAAACTCTCACTCTTGCCCACGAAGGACGCTCCTGTGAATATCTGATTTATTTTCATCTTGCTTTTACAGTCTTCCACGTGTCTAAAAATAGCACACTACAATGTGAGCTGGTTGCTGGCAAAGCCAACCGGTTCAAACACCAGCAACCATCTTCAAATGTGCAGGGATTCAACGCTGAAAAAAATCACACAGACTTTTCAAAAACAGAGACTTTGCCATCTTTCTGGAATTCTCCTGAAAGCACCATCGAAACAAATGCCCACAGGAAAAAAAAAGACTCATTTGTCACTGAGGGCATTGACCTTTGACCTCAGCGATAAAAATACACTCCATTTTCCTAAGCTCCTAGATTAGGTTCCCAGCGCTGGGGAGAACCAGGCATCTTGTCAAGTGTTTCTGAGGACGCAATGGAGACGTTCCTAGCCGTCAGAAACCAGATGCCTGGTCAGGCACACACTGAGAACTGCCCTGCAGGGCAGGCGACAGGTGTCGCTTTGTGGAACAGTGTCCACTGTGGAGCCGCCACGTCCACTGCTGTGCAAATGCGGGACTCCTCTTTCCTGCCTGTCTGCCTGTGATGACGGACAGCGCTGGCTGCAGCCTGGCTATTTTTGACCCTGTCATGCGACAAGGGTTTCCAGTGGGTAAAATGTCTTTATAAGGCCAGAGTAAAACATCTATCAGCCTGGCATGCCAGCCAAAATGAAGCTCCCTGATACGGAACCATTAACCCCTCGAACTCCCCGAGTTCCAAAGACGACTTGGTGGTTGCTAAGGGTTGTCTCTTTGGAGGCAAGAGCTCACCCAAAAATAAGTGTGTCTGACACAAAAGACGGAGCACGCTCTGCACGGCTGCGTGAAGACTGCACGGAAGAGAGTTGCTAAGGAAACTTCTGTCCCTGCGTTCACTTGACGGGAAGAACTCATTCGGGATTCGACAAAACCAACCAATTAGAGTGGGAGATCAGACGCCTACATCAAGTGGTCCAAGGTTTCAGAAGATGTCGGGAAGGCAAATGCAAACCTCGGGCCTCTTAAGGCTCAGCGCAGAGTGCCGAAGATCCCAGGGCAGCCTTACAGCATGGTGTAGGCAGGCGGGCAGGCGGGGAGGCATCTGAGGAGCTGGGGGCCAGGTGCTACTTCCACTCTCCCTACCGTGAACTCTTTTCATGAAGTGGGAAACCCAGCAAAGCCCTGTGGGATTCTCCTTCCTCTTGAACTGTTCATCTTGCCCTGTCCTTCCATCAGCCACAGAACACACGTGCCTAGCAGTTACAACAGCACAAAGGCAAGGAGATTATGTAACTTTCAGAGAAAATACACTGCATTCTCTCTTTTTCTCCCCATCTCTTCTGGTACCTCTGATATTATTGACTTAAAAATTTTTTTTTTATTTGAAAGACAGTGACAGAGAAAGGAACTAACGAGAGAGAGAGAGCGCTTCCATTTGCTGGTTCACCTTCCAGATGCCTCCAACCAACTTAAGCCAAAAGCCAGAAACTCCATTCTGATATCCCACTAGGGTGGCAGGATCTCCAAGGCACATAAGAATTGGATCGGAAGTCAAACAGCCAGGACTTGCACCAGCACTCTGATATGTGATGTGTCCCAAGTGGCAAATTAACCCACTGCACCACAAAGTGCACCACTCCCTGGAGGACTTGGAAAGCAGTAGTGCTTTGCTCTTCAACTCACCACCCAGACTACTGCTGGAGGCCATGTCTCAATCACCTACCTACCTGCTCCTTCCCTTGCTCCACCCCTAACAGCACCCCCAAACCCAGTGCAAATATCTTCACCCTTGGCACTTCCTATGCTCTGATTTCAAAACCTCTTCCCATGTTTGTTTCCATTTTTCCAATATTTGTTTCCATTTTTCCCTGGACCCTGGTCTCCTGCACTCCAATCCCCAAATCCTTGCTTTTGCTCACCAAGCATGTCAATCTTTCTGTTACTTCCACCTGTCACACTCAAATCCCATCCACTCCAGCTGAAACCCTGCCTACACACAAGCCTTCAGAAATCAGCTTCAGTTTTCATCTCACACTTTCCACGTGTGACATGGAGTAACCCTCTGTAGCTATGCATTGGGCAAAATTATTTCAGAAAGTGTTCATTTTAAATGGCCAAGACAATACTCTGTAACACAGCTCTCTTTCCTCCTCCAGCAGCCTGTAAAATCTAGGCTAACTTTCTTCCCACTTTCCTGACATCTCCTTGCTTCCTTCTCTGAGGCCACATGGACAGCCTTCCTTTGGTGTCTGTTCATGTCCTGGACCTTGGGAGAACTGTGTCTTTTTTGGCCACAGTTGGATGCTGAAGAATCAGGCAGTCCAAGAATCTGAACTTCGCATCAGACCCTAACACTTACTGGTCCCTGCCACTGGGGGAAGTTAATTAACCTCTCCGTGCCTCAGGTTGTTTATTTATTTATTTGCCCATGGAAAATACACTAACCTGTCTTCACCAAATACTTGTTGTGAGAATTCAGTTAGATAATTTATGCAAATCCCTTATCAGTATCCTACCCGTGGTGGATGCTTGGTGCGTGTTTGTTAACCCCGTAAGTGGACAGCATAAATATTGGCAACACTGGTACTACATTTAGCGTAAAACCTAGCACCTTAAAGGCATCATGACACGAAACGTTTAAGTGGATGCTCAGCTCGGTCTACACCAGTCCAGAAATTTCTACTCACAGACCCAACTGCCTTACATCAGACTACTGTGTTCTATCCCAAATCCCCTCAGGCCAAAGTTTTGTTTTTTTGTCTGAAGACCCAAACAAGCTTGAAGGTCCCTTAAGGACCGCATAAAAGAAGAATCTCAGCTGCTGGAATTTCAAACAAGGAAACGTAAATAATGCTCAACCTTTTTTCCATGCCTAAAATAAGCGCATGTGGAATTCAACTAGAATTTAGGAGGACCAAGAGTGATTTGCTAGGTATACAGTTTGGGAATTAGAGTAAAGCTGAGAACCCCCTTAAAAAGATAACACGCCTGCTTAGTCCCACCTGGCAGTGTCAACTCTGCCAAAAGTTCGGGGTTTGGTGCAATGGCTCATCGGCTAATCTTCCCCTGTCAAGTGCCAGGATCCTATATAAGCGCTGGTTCATGTCCCAGCTGCTCCACTCTCCATTTGACCTGCTGCTTATGGCCTAGGAAAGCACGGAAGGATGGTCCAAAGCCTTGGGACCCTGCACCTGTGTGGGAAACCTGGAGGAAGTTCTTGGCTTCAGATCAGTTCAGCTCTGGCCATTACAACCATATGGGGAGTGAACCAGCAGATGAAAGAGCTTTCTCTCTATCTCTCCTCTTCTCCATAAAATCTATCTTTCCAATAAAAATAAAATAAATATTGAAAAAAAGAATCACAAGTTCAAGCAGGTTAGGCCCACATGAATAATCATCACCCTTGACAAAGACAGTTAATAACCGAAGAGACAAAAAGCAAAGAGCTACCATCAGAACACACTTGGGTTAAAATTCCAATGCAAAACTTTTCATCATGGTGGGTCTTACGTCCACATGTCACTTTCTTCTTCAATCCCCAAAGCACCACAAGGACAGTCCCAATGTCCACAGGTAGCTCACAAGACCATCCTCGCACAGCGGACTTGTTCACACAGAGTCCTTCCTCTATGCCTTTGTTTGGGCTCACTAGGCCCTACCTACATCCTTCGGCTGTGCCCAGTCTTCCTTCACCTGGCCAAGGCATACCCAATGGTCCCATTCTAGATTAAGCCAAGTCTAGTCTCACCCTTTTCCCCCATAGCCTTGTCCAACTCTCCAACCCATCTATTTTCTATGACTCTGAATTCCTTTTGTACTTGAGACAATACCAAGTTATTTAGCAATTAGTAATTCCTGATGGGTTTGTATTATTTTTGCTTCCACATTAATGTGCAGCAATTTCCTCATTTGGCATCATCCAGAAACACAGTGAGAAACACACACGCACGATTATCTGTTGATAGATCCAGTTTTCTAACTGCTTGGAAGTGTGCAATCATGACTAAATCTATCATCACGTCTTCCAAGCTAAGTACTGCTTTCCAATCCCACCTAAAGCCTATTGCTGGCCTGGCCAAAGAAGTACTCACAGAAATAGACCCATCAACCCACCATTTCTATCAGTGTCCAGTTAGCCTGGGTTTGCATAGTTACGGACACATCAAACACCTTTACCTTCAATCTTATTGGACAGAAGATTCCTTAAGGGGGAAAAAAAAAACACAAAGAGGAGGTACTGACATATACTAAAGGAAGGGTTAGGAGGTTTTCTTGGGAATGAATAACATGACTATTCCAAGTGTTCTGGGGCCCAGCCTTGGGAACACGCTTGGTAGACATCCACATGGTCAGATTCCTGGTTAAACATGTAGACATTCGAGGGGCTAAGCTAGAAGGGAAACTGTTGTTCAGGCTGTAACACTCCATGAACAACCAGAACTTGTAAAAAGTTTACATCTTTGGCATGACGGTGATCAGATAGAGGCACATCACATGTTAGCACCCAGGATGGACACAGGCAGGAGGGGACTCTGCCACCGACACCGTGTCTGAGTGCAAGGGAAATGGGCACCTCAGGAGAGGACAGCTGGCAATCCCAGGACCCAGTGATGCCACACATGTGGACAGGCTGTTCCTCTGGAGCTCAGTCTGACAGGTGGGAGGAGGTGCTAGACCACTGACACCTGGCGGGTGCTGATGAACTCTGAAGAGGGCTGCTGAGTGTTCAACATTGAGAAGGCTTCCAAGGGGGATTCACATTGCAAAAGAAAGAACCCCACTCCCAGAAAACTCCCCATACAACAGAAACTTAGGACATGCAAGCAATGAATCTATATTCTTACAGAAAGAAATCACACCATTTAGCACTCACTACAAAAAAAAAAAATGGATATATATATATGTATGGTTAAATGGAAGTCACAGGCCACAGCTTAAAAGCAAGAAAAAAAAAAAGGCCCTTTGCTTCCCATGGCAAAGTCAACACTTCTTAACACCACCACCAAAACCAAAAGGCAAAGAGCCCCTTCCCCGAGGAGAGGAAACACTGTCGTTCCAGCTCTTTTCAATTAGGTCAAAGCACACAGTTTAGCTATCAACACCACTTCATTATTGTAATAAATCAAATAAAGCACACGGAGGTCTATTGGCTATGGTGAAAAGATAAAATAAAAACCAACATCAACATCCATGCATCATTAATCACCATCTGAGCTCGTGTGTTTGAGTCTACTGGTTACAGAGCTTAATTCCAAACAGAACTATTCCACCTCTTATCATGGTATCCTTCTCATCAGTTAGCTTAACTGTATACGAGCCCTGTCAGGTTAGAAAGAGATAAATCACATTGAGTCAAGTTGAACAGCAGTCATGGGGCTGGGGCACAATCGTCTCGGACACAAGTCCTACCTGGTAGGTTTGGATTGTTTGGTTTTGTTGAGCATAAGCTCAAAATGTGTCTGCTTTGGAGGCTGTTATACTTGGTCAGAAAACTTGACTCATCTAAAAGCATTGATAGTACCAGTAGGAAGATTACACAAATATCAGGATGTATGACCAGGAACATGCTGTGACATGATGATCTGATCTGTACACAATCAAGAGGCAGCTGAACAGATGATGGCTATGGTGAAACGCAGGAGGGCCTGGCTGACTTACCCGAAAGGTCTCTGAATGAGGGCCGGATGAAGCTGCTGAACGCCAAAGGCAAAACCTACCAACAAAACATAGCATACGGGTCAGTTGGCAACATGGTTAGGTTTCTGGGGTTCCCACACCTCAAACATCACCAAGACTTTCACTTTGGAAAGCTATTCATCCTCAGGAAATGTTAAAGAAAATATCTTGTATGTGTAGATACCCCTGAAAGAGTCAGTTTTGATAAATGCCATCACTGATCCCAAATGGATTTTTTTTTTAAGTGGTAACAATGCCAGCAACCAAAGGCCCACAAACCTCAACTGGCAAACACAGAGCAAGACTTTAGACAATCAAGCCAGAGAGAAATGTTCATGGAATGAAACCAAAAACAACACAACTTGACAATGAAGTTACATGTCAAAGATTCCTTCAATTTGGAATCTCATCCTATAAAAAGTCTTTGTGATTTGGAATTTTCTGGAATGTTCTAGACAACGCTCAGGAACACAAACTAAGTTTGTGGCTCGTATACATACTACGTATGGGACAAAGGTGTATTTCCTCACCTATGCCTATGCTCACTTTCTCAACAATTTCACCTTCTGTTAGAACTGTCCAGATGGAAAACGGTGAGCTCTTTCCAAAATTCCAGAAAAACACCACGGTGAAGAGCACATGCTTTGCTTTAACCAGTAAAGCTGTCTGCCCAAGGGAAAGATTACACTTGCTCAACACTCCGCTTTCAATTATTTGTGCTAATTGCAAAGGGCAGTGCCGTAAATAATCTGAGAGGTCCTATTGTTGCACAGACAAAATGCTGCTCCCTTTTGGCAATTTGCGGCTCTGGGCATGACTTCCTAGCAAATTATTTCTCATCTTTTAAGTACCCATCCTTTTCTTATTTGGAACCTGAGGCTCTTTTGAGTGGGGGTAATCTACTTCCTCTGGTTATTAATATTCTCTGATTCTGTGTTACAATTCACCATTGGACCCTCTCTCTCCCTTCTGCTGCCCCCACCCCCCCCATTCTTTCCTTGGCTCAGCCTTGAAGTCAGACTCCCTATTCTAAACACAGCACATGTGATCATAACATGAAAGAACATGCGAAGCAGGGAACCATGGGAAGCCCGTGGAATCTACTGATGAGTGATCCACGAGTGGTTAAAGCTGGGAAACCCGAGAGCAGCCTACAGTTTATGTCACACAGGGAGTGATGAGTCAGCCCAACTCTTGTGTGTGTGTGTCCCAACTGCCATTCCCCTCCAGCTCTACTTTTGTACACAGGTACATTCTGTGAAGAATATTTACAACTCTCAGTTTTTATCTTGAAGGCCCCGGGCACAATAACCAGCCACAGGTTCAAGTTGATGGAACAACCAGACAGACCACCTGGGAAGCCAACCAATTCTGAATGGGGAAATGGTTCTATTCACAAAACCGGGGTTCTGGTGGGTGCGGCGGGGAGGGGAACCAGCCGCGTCTCACCTGGTTGCATGATCCTTGGTTTTGCTCCTAAGTATGCGAGGTTCACGTTGGCCTTTCTGCCATCAATGATGGGGTTGGGATCCTTGCAGGCCCTCTCGGCGGCTGCCCGGTCAGCCATGGTGACCTTAGCAACATACACACACGCACACACACACAGATATGCAAAGCTTTCAATTCACCCCGGAAGGAGACCAAGGCGCACGTTAGAGAAGTCACTCATGACTGGGAAAAAAAAAAAAACAGCTCTAACTTTTTTCTTTCTTCTTCCTTTTTTGTTTGTTTTGCCTAGACCTCATGCCAGCGTAATGCCCATTGAAAGAGACAAGAAGAAGAAAGAGGAAAATGAAGGAGTCGATCTTCCACACCCTCAGGGCTCCCAATTGTTCCCCCCACACCACTTCAGCCCCAGAGTCCCAAGGGTGCTGGTAGCGGCCTAGCCAAGAGCTGGGGCCCGAATTCTTCCAACGCCTGGACCTTCTTCCTCGCTGCTGTCCCTGACCCAAAGCCAGGTCCCACGAGCCTCAGGGGCACTGCTGGCTTCCAAGTCAGTGCAGCCTGTCATCCACCCCCCTCCTCTCCTCCCCCTCCCCACCTAGCATGCCCTGACCACTGCAAACACTGGGGGCAACCACCCCAGCTATTGTCCGAGTGTCGGATTGGGGGGCTCCAGGGCTTGCCGAGCTCAGTTAGGCACATCCAAGCTCCAAGAAGCTCCCTGCGCTTGCTGGCTGGCTTGCTGGCAGTTCGGCCAAGAGCCACACAATTCTTTCTCTTTTAGAGAACCTACCCTTGCCATTACATAGAGAGGTCCCAGATCCCTTTTGGGGTGTCCCCGCCCTGTCCCAGCCAGAAAGCCCATCAGGCATTTTCACAAAGCAACAGCGCGCTCCGCCACTGGCCTCCAAGCCAGGGAAGGCCACTGAGCAGGGCTGTGGCTCCAGACCCCAAACCCAGCGGTCCTGATAACTTCCCTCGGGGGCCCCTACGTCCCTTACCCCGCCACCAGCCTTTCCCCACCCCCACCCGACATAATCGAGCGTGGGGTTCTCTCGGCAAGCAACAAGGCAGGCGCCGGTCCCCGGTCCCCCTCTTTGCTGCGCGCAAAGTTTCAGTTCGGCCTGGAGCGCAGGGAGCGGGGCAGTGTCTCCCACGCCCGCGAGGGGCTCCCAGCAGCCCGGCGCCCCTTGGTCTTCCCCGCCCCCTTAAAGCCCACAGGGCTTTTGGTCGCCCTCAGCCAGCACCCCCACCTCCCTCCACCCGGTACAACTTACAAATCCATAGCCCCGGGACTTGCCCGTCTGCCGGTCGGTGATGACCACCGCCTCCTCGATCTCGCCGAAGACCTCGAAGTACTTGCGCAGGCTGGCGTCAGTGGTGTGGTAGGGCAGCCCCCCGACGAAGATTTTGGTGTACGTCGTGTCCTTCTGGGTCGTGTGCATCTTCGCGCCCACCCCGCGGCTCGGGCTCCGGCTCCGGCTGCGGCTCGGACAGCGGCTGCGCCTTCTCCTCCTCCTCCTCCGGCTCCGCGTCTCCCGCAGCCTCTCGCGGCCGCCGGGGACCGAGGGCGAGCCGGGGGGCGAGGGTGACGGCGACGGCGCGGCGGGGGCGAGCGGCCGGGGGCGGCCGAGGGCGCGGGGCGCACGTCTTCCGAAGTCACCGGCAGCTCCGGGGACTTGACCGGGCTCTCTGCTCCCGCCCCCCCTGCCGGTCACGGTCCAGATTCTCTGGATCGCCTGGGTTAGGAGCCGCTTGGAGAGAAGCGGGAGAGCGCTTACTGCTAGAGAGAGAGAGAGAGAGAGAGAGAGAGAGAGAGAGAGAGAGAGAGAGAGAGAGAGAGGAAAGCGTGGTCCTTGCGCGAATCAAGGCGGGAGACACGTTCCGAGGTAGATGTTTCTTTTTTGGAAATCAGGTGTCTCGGGTGCGGCGTGGGGAGGGTGGGCGTCTGGAGCGTCCGAGCGCGGCGAGGGGCGCGCGGCAGGGCCCGGGTTTTGGGGAGTTGGGGGCCGGTGGTGGCGGTGGTGGGGGGCGATCCGCGCGGCTCCGGCTCGCGTCTGTCCCTCCCGGCGCGGAGGCTTGGAAGACGAGTGCGGAGGACGGCGCTCCAGCCCTCTGCTCCCTTCCTCCGCGGGCCGGGGTCGACGCCCGACTGGGGAGGGGGCGGGCCGGACGTCTGCGATTGGCCGCGGCAGCACCTGGGGCGCCCGGCGCCGCCGCCCCCCAGCTGTTGGGAACAGCTGCTTCTCTCTCGGCGCGGCGCGGCGTGGCGCGGTGGAGCGGACGGTTGGCTAGGGCTGGGAACGGCTGGAGAGGCGGCCTTGCTCTCGGCGTCGCCTGTTGTAGCTCGTCAAAGTCTTGGGGGACCCTGCACAGCCCCAGCCGGGCCCGGGGGCGCGCAGACTTGGTTTCGGAGGCAGTTGCGTTGGTTTCCAGAGCCGACGAGCGAACGCGGGTGTTCTAGGCCTGGGGGTGGGAGTCGGGGAGGGGGTTAGGCCAGCGACCTGGACTGGCAAGCCCGGAAAGGGGAGGTGGGGGTGGAGGGATGGGGGTTTTGTGCCTTGATGCCTGGGGTGCTTCGTCGAGTGCTTTAGTCCCCTCCCAGGCGTTAAGAGGGTGGGAGGGGGGCCGGAGCTTGGCTGACAATACTTGAACTGGCCTTCTGCGGTGTACAGAGTGAAAAAGAGCCTCCCTAACTTTTATTAGTCCTTAAAAAGTGGCTCCTGGACTGGGGGAGAACCGGAGAAGTCGAGCCAGAAAGGGGAAAAAGCAAAGCAAAGCAAAACAAAACAAAACAAAAAAAAAAACCCCAGCGCGATTAGAGGGTGCTTGGAGAACTATCAGCTTCAGTTGCATACAACGCGGCCACACGAAGTGTGTCTGCGAGTCACCGCCGTCCAGCTCAGGGTACCAGACACGAGTGTTTCACCTCCGCCGCTCACACTTGTAGTTTCCCCCTGCTTAGTGGTCTGGGATTTTTGGGACAGATGTCTCCTTCTGAGTTCTGCTCCTTCTTCTCCCACCTTTTTTCCCCCACCCCAGGCAAAGACAGCAGGAAATTTATCTTTTTCTTTAAATTACAGGACTATACAGTGATCTCATCTGTTTTATCTAGATGTGATTATCAAAGGTCTAATTTTTGAATTCAGCTTTGTACGGAACCATTGGTGTCAACCAGCAGAGTGGAAAACTCTTGGAAAACTCTTGTATCTCCCCTGTCTGTTGCTTTCTTCACATCAGGTTTTTGGTTTGTTTTTAAGATTTATTTATTTTTATTGCAAAAGCAGATGTACAGAGAGAAGGGGATACAGAGAGAAAGATCTTCCACCTACTGTCTCACTCACCAGTGGCCACAACAGCCAGAGCTGAGCCGATCCAAAGCCAGGAACCAGGAGCTTCTTCTGGGTCTCCCAGGCAGTTGCAGGGTCCCAAGGCTTTACGCCATCCTCTATTGCTTTCCCAGGCCACAAGCAGGGAGCTGGATGGAAAGTGGAACAACCAGGACAGGAACCGGCGCCCATATGGGATCCTGGCATATGCAGGGCAAGGATTTAGCCACTAGCTGTCATACCCAGCCACACATCAGTGTTTGCAATTCTTTTTAAGCAAGAGTGCACTCAAGTAGGCCCCACAATCCTTCTGTCCTGTTTGAGGTTTGGACTGGTATATTGGAGGAGAACAGCGGTTTCCCCCGCTGACAGTTTCCATTGAAGTCTTTGTTGCGAGGGCGATCTCTGTGGTTCCTGCATTGCTGACCACAGGATGGATTCCTGCAGCTTAGTGTGTACCCCGTAGCACCCCCTCTTTCCAGGGCACTCAGCAGCCCACTCAAGAAGGTGAGAAATGTTGCATTTGCAAGATACTGCTAAAGCAAAGATGCATCTGGAAAACAATTCTGCTTTTCTTTTTTTTATTACCTTTTATTATTATGCTATCATTTTATGATACAGTTCCATATTCCCTTATCCCCTCCCTAATTCCCTCCCCCTACCACCTAGTTCCTCTCTATCATGACTGTAGTATAGTTCTTCATACACAGTCATATGTCCATCATTGAGGGCATGACAATGGCAGAGGGTCCAGCATCCTATTGTCAAGATAGAGTAAAGTTTCATTCTAAGTCCATCTTTGTCTGGAAACAGAAATGCATACCACACTGCATCCTCACATCTGGATGTTAGTCTCCATTTCACAGTTACCGTACATCACCTTAATGAAAAGTCATGATACAAAATCAACAATAGAAAGAAAAATAGAAATTTATAATGCCATGAAATTAAATGACATGTTACTAGATATGATAATCTCCATTACACAGCTACTGTACATCCCATCAAATGAAAAGCCACAAAACAAAATCAGCATCAGGGAGAAAAAAGAAATTAACAACCATGAAGTTAAATAACATGCTACTAAATGACTAACATGTAGCTGAAGAAATGAAAATCAAGAACCTTCTTGAAGAAAATGATGCCGCTGCATGATCTACGAGTCATTGAATGATTTAATCAGAAGAAAGTGTTTTGAAGAGATGAAACTAACTGAAAACAACAAAACCCATGCGATATAGTTTCAGCTGATCTTTGTTAAAGTGTGTCTCCTCCAGACAATAAGCAGATGGATTTTGTTTTTTAATCCAGTCTACAAATCTATGACATTTGATTGAGCATAAGCCACTTACATTCAGAGTTTAATATGTATGGGTGGTAACTTGGTCCTGTAATTTTAGGAATGGGTTGTTCATTGATTTAGTCTTCTGTTGTCATTTTACTGGGGTGTTCTTCTCATTTGCCTTTGGTTTCGTTGGGTGCTATTCCTCTTCTCTGTCGAGAGAACATCTTGAAGTATCATTTGTAGGACAGGTTTGGAAGAGTCAATTTTTTTTAACTTTTCTTTATTGTGGAAGAATTTTATTTCATTTTCAAAGACAAAGAAAGTTTGCTGGGTACGTTATCCTAGGCCGACAATTTTGTGCTTTTAGAATCTGGAATATGTCACTCCATTCTCTTCTTGCCTGTAGAGTTTCCTGTGAGCCTAATTGGCATTCCTTTATATGTCAATTGATTTTTTTTTTCCACGTGTGCATTTAAGGATTTTTTTGTTATGTTCAATTGAAGAGAGCTTGATGATCATATGTCTTGGTGAAGATCACTTTTGATCAAGCCTGTTGGAACTTCTGTGCCCCTCCTGGATCTTGTTTCCCAATTCTTTCTCCAGATTAGGGAAATTTCCCCTTATTATTTCATTCAATATGTTTTTAAACCTAGCTTCCCTTTCTGCACCTTCTGGAACTCCCATAACTCTTATATTTGGCCTTTTAATAGTGTCTTTCAATTCTTAAATAGTTGTTTTGGCCTGATCCAGCTCTGCTTCCTGGTTTTTGTTTGTTTTCCCTTGGTGACAGGAAATATCTTCCAATTCTGAGATTCTTTCTTCTGCTTGCTTCATTCTATTTTGGAGACTCTCCACTGTACTTGTAATTTGCTCTACTGTGTTCTTCATTTCTGATATGCCAGCCTTGATTTGCTTTACTGCTTCCTTAAATTCTTTGAACTCTTGCATTAACTTCTCATTTTTGACCAGAATCTTTAAAATGAGTCTTATGGATTCTGTGTCCCCCATTTTCTCAGTGTCTTCCTCAGTTAACTCTGAGGTTGGCATAGGGTTTTGCTCCTTTGCAGGGGAGTTTTCGGTAATATTCATTGTGCCTTTGTCTCTTCTTTTGCTCTTGATCATTGTACTTCTGGTTAGCAGAGTCTTCTCCTTGGGGCAGGTTTCTAAGCTGTGTCACCCACAGGTCTACAGTGCGATTTTACTTATTGCAGTTGGCACACAACTTTTTGTTTACAGCCGCTTGTGCCACAACCTCCAGTGAGTTCCAGGTCTGGGTCCTTATGTCAGATTTCCTCTGTGGTCTCTACAGCCCTAGCTCTTGGCTCACCAGTCTCCACCTCCTGTGATATGATGCTGAGGCTGCAACATTGTGTCTGCAACCTTTCTCCCACTTTAAGTTGGAGCAGGTGCCAGGATTAGAGAGACACCAGGTGTCATATACAGTTAGGCTTTTGGTGGCACTGATCTTGTTGAAACCTGTTAAATGTTAGGTCTGGGTGCCACACGGACTTTTTGATGGTACGATGCCACAATCAGTATTATTTTCCTGCAGGACCAGTGCAAACTACGGACCTCAGCTAATTCTCTCGAGTTCAGCACATGCGCAGTTCACTGTTGTCCCCTGCAGTCCCAAAGCTATTGCCACAGTGTGCAAAATGGCACCTGAAGTACCACCACTACAATTCTTGATCTGCTGGCCATCAGATCCGAGGGCTACCCAGAACTGTCTTGGGTGGAACCCATAGAATGCCACGTCGCTGCAGTTCACTGAGTCAGAAATGAGCTCACTCCCACCTCAGCGCATGCTCAGTCCTTTCCCTTGCCCTTTTCTCTTT